GGGTTTATTGGCTCTTGGCAGTTAATAGCAATTAATATATTCCGGAATCTGAAAATTAACTCTTCATCAATGTTCAGCACGGAGCTTAAAAGCTTGGGATTTCCAAATGCTCTTCGACAAACGTTTCCTGTAGTACTGGTACCTGCTCCACCCGATCGTGGTTGATCTACTCTTACTCCAAATTTTTCGTAAAACTGTGTCGTCACATGTTTTTTTTCTTTGTTCATATAGTTCTTTGAACGGTTTCGTTACCTTCCATTTTTTGATATCCATTCTGTATGCAATATGCAAAAGGCATTCGAAAAATCTTATCCAAGCATGAAGTGGAAATATGCCGTAATGCAAGGCTTCTTTGTTTGATATAAATCCTTCCTCGAATTTCTCTGCATCATTCATTACATTTGGTGTTGCCCCACATATTGGACAATTCTGCATCGACGAATTTCCAGTGATATAAGTTAAGACTTTTCCATCAAAATCAACAAGTATAAACTTGTTGTTTGAGAGTTCAATTTTCACTGGCGTTAGTTCACTCATTTCTTTTTCTACATCCTGTTTTGTAGCCAGAATAACTTCTTTACTCTCTTTAATGAATGGCCTACAAAATCGAATACTTTGAGGCATTGGATTAAACCACATAATTTCCTTTCGATCATTGTACATGAACAACTGAATTGGTGTTAAAGTGGACGAAAATACATCTGAATCGTCCTGACATCCTTCTGGTAGCACTTGATGATATTGCGAATATCCAGTTGATCCGTCCATACCCCAGCTACATAGAAGAACCAGTTCCGTAGAAACTAGATCGTTGCTATCCATATACTCGTTGAGCTCTGCATCAATTATTTGGACGATTCGTTTCACTGTATTTTCCATCAGCGCCTGGAGTTTCACTCTTATTTTCAATGCACTTTCTTCGATGAATTCACTAGGAGGGGCGCATATTTTTTTCACTGCTCCGATCACATAGTAAGGTGGAAATCGTGAAGGTGATTCACTATGTATTACTTCGTATTGAAATCTACTCAATCCAGTCTCGATAAGTACACTAAAAGCCTCTTCTGGTGAGATCATTCCTCGTTGATTAGTTAGTTGAGCCAGCATGGTTTTAGAGCTTTTTTGTTTTTTTTTTTAATATGCCCAATAACTTTAACTAAATTAAAATCCTTTCGATTATAAGTGGTCCGTCTTGCAAATAACAAAGCTTTCTCGATGGTATCGAATTTTGGATCATCTGCTTCTTTATCGATGACGCGACGTTTTCCTCTTTCACTCAAATCCAAGAAAGGTTTTGAAGGTCGTCCACGTTTTGTTCCCGAGGCCGAGGTTGAGGCAACACATTGCTCCTGTTCGATGAATTCCTCGATGCCAAATTCTCCATGAAGCCAATTCCGAAAATACTACTCAAATCGCTCTTTCGTGCGATTAGCTTCATGCCATTTGTTGATGTATTTAGTAACGATTTTATGGATCTTTTCATCGAGACGTTTACGTTTTTCCACCGAGATGTTATAATTTTCACAAATGAATTCAATGGCTCTGTGAACATTGTCACTATGGCTTAATTTTGCGTCTAATAGATTAATAATGGTTCTATCATCCATGCTCACACTTGGTCTCAACCGTAAATTTGAATTACACTGTAGTAGTTTAAATAAAAGCTACACAAAATACACTATGGCTTCAAATTGACACTACAGTAGGTTAAGTACAGACTTAGGTATAAATTAAACTCATCCGCGCATATGCGTAGGTACATACTTACGCATATGCTTCTATAATCGTCATAACCCAGGTACTTACTTTAGAATAAAGCATAAACGACTGTAGTTTTACGTTCATCCAACAGTGAACTTTATGATAATGATGACTTCTTTTTATACAAAAGCTTAAGCCCTTTTTAAAAGTTGGTCATGAAATATAAGAAAATGTTCTTTAACAATACATTTCGACTATACCAACCGAATATAACTCCAAAAGTTGCAAAATAATTGTTGAAAAAGTTTGTTTCCAAGCCGGCTCTTGTACAATTTGAAATCTCCCATAATAACCGAAAATTTTCAAATCGCTTATATTTCCAATGGGGCAGGCAAACTCTTCAGTACTTGTTAGAGTACACTCAGAAACAAATTTAAACTAATTAGTATAAAAGTCACACTAAAATGATATTCGCCTGGTTGACCCTAGACTTCGTTTAGTTGCCTACAAAACAAGCCTAGTATAAACTTGAAGTATAAGGGGTATAGTATATCTATTGAATGTACATGCGTAGTTTAATACTGGTTTATCCCAGAAACGATTACCACGCCCCCCTAAGTTTGTTTTGGTTGTCAAAAGGATCATAAATATGATAATAACACAGACAGAATTGATACGTGAATTGTTTAAAAGAGCCATTCCCATACGATGGAAGTGCTTTGGAAATCGCCCTTTTTAACTAGTCACATATTCAATTTTTCGACGTTCAGATGATTCCACATTTTATGATTATAATTTACTTTATTTTACGAAAAATAAATCTCCGACACTTGAATTGTCTGCCAATGGAAACTTGGTAGCTACTTTCGGTAACTGAGTGTACAAAATTTTCATGATTGGCATCGCCGGTTCAGATGCCAGCAAAACTAGCGCTTTCCGAGAAGAAAAAGTGGCCACGATTCTACCCTCTCCGACTGTCGTGTTCCCAAGCCAATGTAACAAACTTAAACGCGTCTGATCCATATCTACAATCTTCCGATCGCTCTCCGACCGAATGATAATAATCCGAATGACTTCGGTCAACTCAATAGGTCGATTCAGATTCTGAATCTCAATAAGAAATGCAAACGCACGAAGATTCTTTATCATCGGAAGCGGAGCACGTAGGTCGGCAGTCGGCAGAATCAATTCGTTTCCGTAGTCGATCAGTCGAATTTTGACCAGAGATTTAGCAGAGTCAATCTGAAAAATCAGTCAATACCATCACTCATTAGTTTCGGCAACATGCTATTGTCTTCAAAAGCTCAACGCACGATACATACCTTTTCCAAAATCACCACCCGGTAGTAGATGCCCTCATACGGAGCCGTATAGATGTCACCCACCAGTATATTATTGTACCTATCGATTTCCGTTCCGGATTAACCTGACCATTGATGTCACGCAGCAGCTTGTCGCACTGAGTTTCGTAATCTGCCAAAATTACCCAGCATCGCTTCGGTTGATCCGCCGGAAGGCACTGGACGACCACTCCGAACATCTCCCCTTCTGCCTTTTCCAGCATCGCCTGACTTATCCACCACCACCACCTTCTTGTGTTTCTTGAGCGTTTCCAATTTCAACTTTGTTCGAATATTGACGCAGATTCTCCCGATGCTTGGACCAGTCCCGGATCTGGCACACGAAGGAACACCTCGAGACAACGGCTACACGTAAAATCAGCCGGCAGATGACAGAAACTGTTCCATTTCTCCATGATTGTTTACTAAAGAATACACTGGTCAAAATACTCTCGCACAAATCCGGTTTAGTTTAAACTATATACTGAAGATAGTATACTTTTTATACTAAGCTACGTGTAAACCTCGCGAATGACAAAAATGAATAAATTGTAAACTATCGATGACTACTAATATATCAGAGTGTACACTTAAAACTTCATCCAGAGAATTAGTCTGGGAATGTGCGAGACTCGAAAGTTTGTGATCAATAAAGTTAAATTTTCATTAATTTTCAATTATTTTTTTTCTATTTTTATTTTTAATTTTTTTTTTTATCTCCATCAAATTTCCAAATGGATTTTATTTTCGGAAAGCTTATTAAATTACCTTTCCAACGATGTATAATGATGTGGTAGTTATATGATAAATAGTGGATGAAATTTTATTTGAGTGGTAGTGTATTTTTGCGGCCAAATTTGTACTTTTCTTACTCTTTTTTGACTTTGACATCCGATATCTCAGAAACTAAAACTGCTCGAAGCTTGAAACTTTCAGATTCTCTTAGTTGAAATATTTACTATCGACCAAAAATAACGAAATAAGGATTAGTGGTAGTCGATTTTTTGATTTTTGACCGCCTGATATCTGATAGTGCAATCGAGCAAATCACGGCCAACAACAGAAAAGAGCACATCAAAGAATAATCAACGTTTTGTTTATAAAATATGATAGTACCTTTTCATTTGTTGGTCTAAAATATTGAATTGGTTTCGCTTTTTGATAGATCGAAATTCTATCCGCCAGACTATGAATATAGCGACTATAGACACAACTGGGGTATAGATTTGGATGATTTTTGGAGTCGCTAAGTGGATGATTTTAAAGTTTAAGAATGGTTAATGAAGATTCAGCGAATAAGAATAAATAGAAGTCAAATGTCCTGTCTTGTATTAGCTTATTATATGTTATCGCAATCGAACATTTTGTTCCGGAGATATGACCATATGGAATTTATTCCTACCTTGTAAGCCACTACTTAGGAGGATTAATTAAAAATTTCAATGAGTTTGTAATGTTTACGAATTCTTTTGTTAAATTAATTTTCAGTTGAGAATGATAAGATAGTAAGATAATAAAATTGCATCTTGAATTATGTAATCGAGCTGCTAGTCGTACGACTTCGTTCATTGCAGTCACTCTGTGGAATAACGAAGCCAACCAAAACAATCCATGTTATCTATCTGACCGAACGCGTGTCAATCAACTTGAAATCGCGAACTCACTCACTACGCAACGCATACACATCCAACCAAAAGCACGCTCTCAAATTCCGGCAGACTTAAATGCCGGCTTGATCATCGTATACACTAACCCACACGAAACTAAAACCATGCTTCCCTTTACCCCCACGACTATTCAACAACGACACAAATAAATACAAACAATTTGGCTCAAAGGCTGTCCAAGCGCAAAGTTATTATGGAGATGTTGGGGACGGGCACTTCAGCTTCAGCTCGAGTCGAGTAAACGAACAACGGGAAAATAAGGAGAGAGACCATCCGTGCTTGGGAACCAGTCTCTCGGCAGCTCTCGCAGGCGGTGGATCAAGTTCGAAAGGAAGCTCCCAAGTTTGTGCCATTTGAAAAAGAACAACAAAATTTGAACTCTTGGCAACAGTCTGTGGCCAGAGCTTAAGTACCTTTATGTTCTCCGCGTAAACATCAGTACTGCTAAAAAAGCAATACGAAATAAAAACCTTATCAGAAAATAGAACCCGGTGTCGGGTGGAGTGAGTTAAGTGCATTCGGTAAAATTTTAATCGATTTGGAAGATGGCCCCAACGGCTACTGGTGGCGATATCCTGGGGCTATTCAACGACCAGCAACCCCTGGTTTTCTTCGTCAATGGAAAGAAGGTAAGGATTTCGCAAACAACTTTCGAAAAACTTGCAAAACGGGCATGTGGTTGGTATTGGATGGATCGCATGGACCAGTAATAGACGACATTTATCCATAGCATAATATTTCTTACCCTTCATGAGCCAACCGGAACCAATTTAAATATTTCGCTGAATAGGTGTAGATTCGCGGGGAGGCTACTTTTGCTGCTTGACTGGAGAGAAAGAGAGCAAATGACTTATCAGTTGATATGACATGACATGTGTTTTTCAGCCCTGCTTGTCGTCACGGATTCGCCTTTCGCTGTTATGATCTGCTGCACGGTATTTGTAGTAGAGTGGGTTGCTTATCTCCATGCGAGCAAAACTCGTCGACACATGAATATGGTGATTGAAACTCATTAACAATCAGAGATAGTAGCTGAGAAGGGCGCTTGTTTGTCTTTGAACCGATTACTCAAATTGAAAGAAAGAGCAAGAGGCACTGAGCAAAAAATATATAAATACATAATAGGCGTTCAGTTGTGATGGTCGGGATTGAATCAAAATAAGATAATAAATAGAACAAAAAGCTAAGTGCGCCTCTATTTTAAGATTTAAATCTTAGAATATTATTGCCAATTTAGGGAAAAATTAGCATTTGGCGTTAGATTATTAAAGCAGCTTTAATAGTAATTTCTCTGAATTGACAATACAGTCAACTTTCTATAATGAGAGAGAGAAGGATTAGTATTTTCCATTTAATTCCACTACTTTATTTGCTTATCCTTGACAGATACGCGTATTTCGTCTACAATGTGCAGACTTCTTCAGTGTCTTGTACTAATACTCGACTGGTCGAGTCGACTAATAGTCGAGTATTAGTACAAGACACTGAAGAAGTCTGCACATTGTAGACGAAATACGCGTATCTGTCAAGGATAAGCAAATAAAGTAGTGGAATTAAATGGAAAATACTAATCCTTCTCTCTCTCATTATACAGGTATTCCACTAAGACGCCCACATTCATCAGGAGTCAACTTTCCATTTCTCGATATTGAGAGATCGACATTCTGAAAACTAGCCTACTAGTATGATTCTAGAGGCACTTCGGGTTCAAAATGTTTATTTGTTTATTCCGTATCAAAAGCAAAACTTGATCGCTTTCTTCAAACGTAGAAAACACTAGGGACCGAGATATATAGAACTGGATATATGGAAACTATCAGCAGTCAATAAAAGCAGTCTTGCAGATAAAAATATTAGCTCTAGGCATGGACATTGAAGTTAAAGGAATACGGTGCGGATGGGGCGGACAGGAAATAACCAGGACAACACTTAACAATGAACAAGTTTTATTGGTATGACTGCTCTCTTCAGTGTCTTGATATGGAATGACGCTAGAAAATTGATTGGAGTGTTCAAGACAGTAATCCAACGCCTACTTTGTTACCACCCCCTCTCGTTTGGATACTCCTAGCTTCGTCCTTAATTCCTCGAATCGGCCAGCGTCCAAGGACTTGGTAAAGAAGTCAGCTAATTGGTTCTCACTTGCAATTGGTTCTATCAGCAGCTTCCCAGCGGTGACAAGATTCCGAAGAAAATGATGTTTGATATCAATATGCTTCACTCTCTTGCTCTCCACGTTCTTAGCCATGCCGATGCACCCACGATTGTCTTCATATATGGCAACTGGCTCGATCTGCTTTTCACCCAAATCGCCTAGGACACCAATCAACCATATTGCTTCCGATGCTGCAGCGCTTAACGCCACATACTCTGCTTCACTTGATGAAGTGGCGACCGTCGTTTGTTTTTACTAGACCAGGCAACAGTCGATCCAAACACCTGGAAGACAAATCCGCTCACTGACTTCCTGTCCTCGGTATCGGTAGCCCAGTCTGCATCCGCGAACCCAACTAGTGGTTTTGCTTGAACATCCCGGGTTAAAGTCAAGCAATGATCCATCGTCCCTCTCAGGTAACGCACTACTCGCTTGAGCGCGGTCCAGTGCTGTTGTCCGGGTTGAGCTTGGAATCTCCCCAGGTACCCGACAGGATAGCAAATGTCCGATCTCGTTGATACCATCACGTACATTAAACTTCCCAGTAGCTCACGATACGGTACTCCATTAGCTTCGGAAACTTGACGATAAAGCTGCAACCCTTTCTCCATCGGGGTACTTGTAGGATTGCATTCCAACATGCCAAACTTCTGGAAGATCTTTTCTAGGCTTGCTTCTTGAGACAGCATTATCTTTCCGTCTTGTCGATTGTAGCGTATCTTCATGCCAAGGAAATGGCTAAGCTCTCCACAGTCGGTCATGGCGAACATCCGGGATAATTCGTTCTTCAATTTCAAAATTGTTGACAGCTTCGCTCCCGCTATGAGAAGGTCATAAACATATAGTACGACGAAAATGGCATCTTCCCCCCTCTCGTCGGTACGGGTGTACAGGCAATAATCGTGCTTGGAACGAATAAAACCTAACTTCAGCAGCGCTTGATTGAACTTCTCGTTCCAGCAGCGAGGGGACTGCTTCAAGCCATACAGACTCTTTTTCAATTTGCACACCGTGCCAGCTCTCGCCTTGACGCCGTTCGGAACCGCCATGAATATTTTCTCTTGCAGCTCACCGTGAAGAAACGCCGTCTTCACATCCATTTGGTGGAAATGGAACCCTTTTTGAACACCGACAGCCAGCACAATACGGATTGTCGTCAGCTTCGCCACAGGTGCGTAGGTTTCGTTGTATTCCAAACCGGCTTTCTGCAAGAAACCTTTGACGACCAACCTTGCTTTATAGCGCACAGGGTTTCCTTCTTCATCCTCTTTCGTGCGGAAGATCCACTTTGACTGCAGCGGTTTGACGCCGGTTGGGCATGGCACCAATTCCCATACCTTGTTGGCCTCCAGGGATTTCAGTTCTTCATCGATTGCATCCAGCCACAGTTTTTGGTCATTCCGCGCGTTGATTTCATCGTACGAATCCGGGAAATCTGGGAATGTTGAAATTTTTCCAGCAGACGTTGCTCTGAACCCAGTTAGAAAGTCAAGAAACTTACCTGGGAGCCTGCGCTCCCGTTCACCACGCCTAGTGTTTGACTCTGAACAGTCTTCACCTCTTGATTGTGAAGGGAGCGCCCCAGGTTTTTCAAGTTGCTCCTCAGGTTGTTCGTCTAGTTCAACCTCATCCTCGTCATCACTTAGCACAGGCATCGCGTCTTCGAACTCAACTTGCTGGTCATCTGGCTGCTCTTCCAATTCAGCTTGCTGGTCATCTTCGACGGCCGGATACAGCATTGGAATCACCAACGGTACCCTCGAATCTTGACTGTCTTCAAAAGCGTACGGTAATGAATTCTCGTCAAATTTGATGTCACGGGCTACGAGGATTTTTCTTGACGTTCTATCCCAAAGGCGGTATCCGTTGGGAGCATAGCCCACCATCACCGCCTCGCGACTCTTGTTGTCCAGCTTTTTCCGGAGTTGACCTGGCACCCATGCAAATGCTTTGCATCCGAAAATCCTCAATTTCGATAGATCAGGTTTCACACCGGTCCAATACTCAGCAGGCGTACGGTTGTCCGATAGAGCAGCAGTAGGGCAACGATTTAATATATACGTACCGGTAAGCACTGCTTCCGACCACATGTACTTGGGCATATTCGAGTCGATCAGCATTGTCCTTACCTTTTCAATTAGCGTTCGATTGAACCTCTCGGCAACTCCGTTCGCTTGTAGAATGCTTCTTGTTCCTTAGAGCCGTACTCACGCCCTTGATCCACGGTTAGCTTGCTGATTCGTTTTTCGAACTGGGCGGTCACCATCGCTTCGTATTCTTGAAAACGACCAAAAACCTCGGACTTCTTCTTCATCACATAGATACACGCAAAGGGACTATAATCGTCGATGAATGAAACAAAATACTTCGATCCATCCCAGGCCGGAGGATTGACTGGTCCACACACGTCCGAGTGAATCCGCTCTAGTAGACGACTAGCTCTTTCACGAGTTCCGTCGAAGGGTTCTCTGCATTGCTTACCGAGCACGCAAGTGTCACAGAACCCGATAGCATTGACCTTCGGACCAAATCCTTCCGCCACACTATACCGGACCAACGTGTTCATCGTGGTCTGACTGGCGTGACCCAAACGACGATGCCAGAGTTTTCCAGCGTCCGATGCGCATAGATTTGCGGTAGCTCCTGACACGTCCAAGTTTAAATCCAATTCGTACAAATTACCTCGTAGATGCGCTACTCCAATTACTGAGTCATTCTTTTTCATCATCGCTTGATGCTTTCCCGGCTTGTGAATAGTACGTCGATTCCCGCTTGGGACATCTTCTTCACGGATAGCAGGTTTCCTCTTAGCTCGGGCACGAAAATCACATTTTTCATTTCAAACTTCACACCTTCTCTTGATAGTCCAGTAACTTCACCTTCGTAGTTTCCGATAATTGAAACACCATCTTTGGCTACATCGATCACGAACGGTATTTGAGTTTCCTCACCGACTGCATGCATTCCAAAGTGTTCACCAGATGGTCGCTGCATCCAGAATCCACAACGAAAACTGACCTCTTATGTTCCGTCTTCGTCGGCATCTTGTTCACCATGAATGAAACTGATTTGCTGTTAACGGCCGCATTCACCTTACCTTCTGGCTTCTTAACATAGCAATCTTTTTGCATATGTCCCACCTTTCCGCAACGATGGCATTTTCCGGTAAACTTTTTGGTCTTCTTATTTCGTCCTCCGACAAACGCTGCACTCCTATCTTCACAAGAATCTTCCATCCGATCAGACCGCTTGGATTCCTCCGCAAACAATCGTTGCTTCACGGTTTCCAACGTCAGGTTTTTTTTTTTTTTTTTTTTTTTTCTTTATTTTAGAGATTTTTAGCCTGAGGCTAGTTCATCTCTTCCAACGTCAGGTCCTTTTCGTTTATATTCTCTAAAGCTGTTACCATGGAGTCGTAGCTGTCGGGAAGGGTCAAAAATAACTGTGATACCGTATCGTTCTCCTCCAATTTCGCACCAGCGGTCTTGAGCTGCCGTACGATGTCGTCGATGCTGGAAATGATGCCGCATTGAAGTACCCTCCTTCACCCGAAGTCTTGCCAGTTGCTTCCGTAACAGAGTCTGACTTGCCACAGACTTCTTCGCGAAGGTGTCTTCGAGTGCCTTCCACATATCGCGAGCCGTCTCCTTGTCCCGTACTATGCCAAGACATTCATCGGAAAGGAATCCGACCAGTAGTGACTTCGCTTTCCGATCTGTCTGCATAAACTTCGCTCTTCCAGCATCCGTTGCACCAGGAACTTGCCCCGTAAGCGCTTCTGAAACTTCCGCCGCAGCCAGGTAGAGTTGAACGCGAAAACGCCAGTTCTCAAAGTTCGATCCGTTTAGCTGCGGAATTCCAGAGCCTTCCTTCGTAGACGAGCCCATAACCTAAAGGAATACGGTGCGGATGGGGCGGACAGGAAATAACCAGGACAACACTTAACAATGAACAAGTTTTATTAACGATAATGTTATCTTGGTATGACTGCTCTCTTCAGTGTCTTGATGGAATGACGCTAGAAAATTGATTGGAGTGTTCAAGACAGTAATCCAACGCCTACTTTGTTAACAGAAGTTTTGTTTATAAGCTCGGAACGATTGGTTATCATCATAAAGATCAGAGTTGGTTGGAAATGCTATCTAACATGAAGCTTTAGTGTGATAATTTCTCTCTGAGATGACTAAGTTGGTCATGACGAGAGGAGGAATACAATAGTTGGGTAAAGAAGAATTGCTTTATAATTATAACACACCATCAACTGGAAATACTTTTGGCAACGTGGGGCTTCAGGTAGTGATGAAACATAGCTAGAACTATTCCACAGCCGCAGAAAGTATATGAGCAATTCAAACGCGCACTTTTTTGCCTGTAGATTTGAAGACATATTTCAAACCTCCTCGTACATCGTACCAGAGTCGATGTTATAATAAGAGTCCCGCCAAGAGAAAATGTTGCGAACAAGCACCACTGTTTGTGATATATTTTTCGTCAGAGTAAACGGCAACCAGATTTTTTGCGTTAGCATCGGATGACTTTCATTCAGAAGTGAAAAATTTCATGTCGATAACGGAGCTTCTGGGAGACAAAAGCAATGAAAAAACCTGAAAAAGGTTCAAACAAGTGCTTGGTATAACTTTTAAATACCACAGTGTAATAAATAAAGCGAAGCAATGTTTTTCATCTAAAATTACTAAAACAATGATGTTTATTTACTTTGCTTGTTTGGTACCCCGCTTGACAGTTCAATTGGTACTTCTGGCTTCACTCTTGGCAGGACTCTTATTATAACATCATTATAATCATTATAATTATTATAACCATTATAATCCATTATATAATCATTATAACATCGACTCTGCATCGTCCGAGTTAGGAAAAAAAGTGTGCGTTTGACTGGTACTTTCGCATTAATGGCCCTTCGCTCATTTTCAACTTCTATTCAATTTTCATTCAGCCGTACCAACAATCAATACGAAACTAACGATTTTAAATTGGCTCACTACTTGACTAGCCTATTGGTCCCAAGCAAATCGATTAACGTATCCCATTCTAGTCCAAATTCTAGTACTACGCAATGTTTTTTTTTTTTTTTTTTCTCCCTTTTTATGGCACAGACCTGTTGGTCCATATTAGCCAGGCGTATCAAGTGATAGTTGGTTGTCAATTGACGTATACGGTATTTATGTTATGTTTTGGTTAACTTCTGCCAGAAATTTTCAAGCAAAAATGAACAGTATGTCTTGGAAAGGAGTGCAAAATAAAAGATTTAAATTTAAGGAAAAGTTAAAGTCTAAACAATTAAAAATTCGCGATCGGTTTACTCAAACATTGGTTCCAACCTCTTTTATAAAATCGGCTATTTGAAGGTATTCATCGATATTTTTATTTTTTAGGATGCTGATGAATTTGGATTTGTCTGCTAATACAGGATAGTTATTTCTGATCAAGTTTCGATTTGGACATTCATAAAGGATATGCAGCAAATTTTCCTGGACTCCACAGATTTCACAATTTTCAGTTCTTATTAAATTCCACTTATATAGCCTGTCTTTAGTTGCTGTGTGAAATGTTCTTATTCTTCCCATTGTAATTGTTTGTGTCGTAGTCATGTCCATTTTATGGTACCATGGTTTCATTGTTATGTTATCCATTATTTGATAATGTTCTTTTCCCTTTTCATTTGATAGTTCTTTGTATTCCTCGTTCCATTCTGACAGTAATTCATTTTTAAAACTGATTAGTGAGTCCCCTATACTTAGAGGATAGTCTTCAATTCTAGCTTTGGTAATTCCTAGTTTCGCTGCTTTATCAGCTCTGTCATTTCCTGTTATATTTGTATGACCCGGAATCCATTGGATAACCACCTTTTGAAAGTTATTGTAGTGAACGAGAGTATAAAATTTCTGTACTAGGTAATTTTCAAAACTATTATTTATTAGGGCTATACAGCCGCTTTGTGAGTCAGTTAGAATAACTACTTTAAATTGTTCAATAGTGATAGCATATTCTAGTCCTTCAATAATACCTACTAGTTCTGCATTCATTATTGTAAAATTAGAATTTAGTTTATTACTGAAGGATATTTTATTTTCATGATCATAAATTCCATAGCCCACACCGACATTTGTTTTTGAGCCATCAGTAAAAATTTTAAAATATGAATTGTAATCTTCTTGGATTAATTTTTGAATGGTTAACTTCTGTAACGCTAATGGTGTATTTTTCTTATGTAAAGATGCTATTATAGGTACTATTTCAATAACATTAGTATTAATTGATTGATGTATTTGTATCTGTTGGGTTTTACATTGTAGTGTATGGAAGTTGTTTACTGATGCAATCTTTTCTAGAAAGCTATGGTGTTTAGGTAGTTCATCTGAATTAATTAAATCTTTTAAGTGATCATTTATTGGACTTGTTTCATAGTAAAGTGTTTTTAGCAATTCTTTATATACGCAATGTTTGTTTTGATTCGCTATGAAAGTTTGACAGATAAAATGAGGGGTTATTGGATTTTCCTATGTTCCGAGGGGTGAATCGATTAGCGTGGGACCAAAGATAGTACCAGAGCTGAGCCATAAAGTTGAGCACGTTTCTTCGGGACCTTCTGGTCTTAGAGTTACCTCTATGGCCGTACTTTAACGGAACTATCTACCTACCCTCTTCTAAGACCATTCTCTAGCTAATAAATTATCACACTAAAGCTTCATGTTAGATAGCATTTCCGGCCCCACTCAATTTCATAACACTTATTTCAAAATCTCAATCAACCATAACCAGTATCCATCTTTCCAATCCGCAGGTCGTCGACTCCAGTCCCGATCCCGTATGCACCCTTCTGGTGTACCTGCGGGATAAGCTACGCCTGTGCGGTACCAAGCTCGGTTGTGCCGAGGGAGGCTGCGGTGCCTGTACCGTAATGATCTCCAAGATCGATCGCTCCACCAATCGGATTCACAATCTGGCTGCCAATGCGTGTCTTACGCCGGTCTGTGGCGTTCACGGGATGGCCGTTACCACGGTGGAAGGAATCGGAAGTACACGCACCCGTCTCCATCCGGTCCAGGAACGTCTCGCAAAAGCCCACGGATCGCAGTGTGGATTCTGTACTCCGGGAATCGTCATGTCGATGTACGCTCTGCTGAGAAATTCTTCGGTGCCTTCGATGAAGGAGCTGGAAGTGGCCTTCCAGGGAAATCTGTGCCGATGCACCGGTTATAGACCAATTATCGAGGGATACAAGACATTTACACAGGAATTTGGAGTTGCTCAGAATGGAGTCTGTGCTATGGGCGACAAATGTTGCAAGAACCGTAACGGAGAGTCAAACGGATGTGGGGTAGAAGTTGACGATAAACTATTCGAGGCCAGTGAATTCGCACCCTTCGATCCCTCTCAAGAGCCGATTTTCCCTCCGGAATTGAAACTATCCAATACACTGGATGCCGAATCGCTTGTTTTCCGTGCATCTACTGTTAATTGGTATCGACCTAGTAATCTAGAGCATTTTCTAGCTATCAAGAAGCGTCACCCTGATGCGAAGATCATTGTCGGAAATACGGAAGTGGGTGTTGAGATGAAGTTCAAGAACTTTGAATACCCGGTGTTGGTGTCCCCGGCACAGATCAAAGAGCTAAATTGCATTGAGAAGCTCCAAGGAGGATTGAAAATTGGATCGTCTGTAACCTTGATGGAGATGGAGCGAGTCTTGCGGGAAGAAATCAACACACGACCGGAATTTGAAACTCGATTGTACAAAGCTGTCGTGGATATGTTGCACTGGTTTGCCGGGAAGCAAATCAGAAATATGGCTTCAGTGGGTGGAAATATCATGACTGGCAGCCCGATTTCGGACTTAAATCCGATCTTCACCGCCGCTGGTATTGAGTGAGTACAGTATGGTTGATCCATTTTCTGTGAAGAAAATGCTAAGAATCATTCTCCTATATCCCTTAGATTGGAAGTTGCCAGCCTAGATGGTGGAGTTCGCAAGGTACACATGGGAGATGGATTCTTCACTGGATATCGTAAAAACGTCATCCGGCCTGAAGAAGTACTCGTATCGCTATTCATCCAAAAAACAAACGCAGATCAACACTTCATTGCCTACAAACAGGCGAAACGGCGAGATGACGACATCGCCATCGTTAATGGAGCGTTCAACATAATGTTCAAACCGGGAACTGATGTCGTTGAGCAGGCTCATCTATCCTTTGGTGGAATGGCTCCAACGACTGTATTGGCCAAGAAAACTGGTATCGCACTGGTCGGTAAGAAGTGGGATAGCAAGCTGGTCGAACTGGCAAATGAAATGTTGATTGAAGAGCTTCCTCTGAGTCCCAGTGCTCCGGGAGGAATGATTCTCTACCGTAGATCGCTGACCCTGAGTTTGTTCTTCAAGGCCTATCTGTCCATCAGTGATGCACTCTCACGCTCAGTTGTGGGTCATGCACCCGTACAAGATCGAGAAAGAAGCGGCGCCAAAACCTTCCACACTTTGGTCCCAAAGAGTGCCCAACTCTTCGAGAAGGTATCCACAGATCAACCGATCACTGATCCAATCCGAAGACCTCAGGTTCACGCTTCTGCATTCAAACAAGTCACCGGCGAAGCAGTTTACTGCGACGACATACCCAAGTACAGCAATGAACTCTACCTGGTATTTGTTACCAGCACCAAGGCGCACGCGAAGATAGTCTCGATCGACACTTCGGAAGCACTAGCGATGGAAGGAGTTCATCGATTCTTCTCCGCAGCAGATCTAACCGATGAGCAAAATGCATGTGGACCGGTATTCCACGATGAATTCGTATTCTGGAAGGACTTGGTCACCAGCCAAGGTCAGATCATTGGTGCCATCGTGGCTGATAATCAAACGATCGCGCAGAAAGCAGCTCGGAAGGTAAAAGTAGTCTATGAAGAGCTGACGCCGATCATTGTTACAATCGAGGATGCCATCAAGAGAGAATCATTCTATCCAGGCTACCCGAAGGGTATCGTCCAAGGGGATATCGAGAAGGGCTTCCAGGAAGCACATCATCTAATTGAAGGAGACTTTAGGATGGGTGGTCAGGAGCACTTCTACCTGGAAACTCAAGCTTGCGTTGCCGTTCCGAGGGATTCGGACGAGATCGATGTGTTCAGTTCTTCACAACATCCGACCGAGATTCAACAGCATGTAGCTCATGCTTTGGGCATTCCATCGTGCAAAGTCGTTTCACGCGTTAAGCGACTGGGCGGTGGTTTCGGAGGAAAGGAATCCCGCGCGGGTCTGATAGCCACTCCGGTAGCGCTGGCAGCTTACAAACTTCGACGCCCGGTCCGTTGCATGTTGGACCGGGATGAAGATATGGTCATCACCGGCACCCGACACCCGTTCTACTTTACGTACAAGGTGGGCGTGGCTGAAAATGGACGCATCCTGGCCGCCGACTTTAAGGCGTACAATAATGCAGGCTATTCGATGGATTTGTCTTTTTCGGTAAAGATCTTCTGAATTTTAATTCTGAACATCTAATTCTAACACGTACAGTTGTAGATTCTCGAGCGATCAATGTTCCACATTCAGAACGCATACAAGATTCCGAATCTACGCGTTCAGGGTTGGGTTTGCAAGACGAATCTACCCTCGAATACGGCATTCCGAGGCTTCGGTGGACCGCAGGGAATGCTCGCAGCTGAAACGATGATGCATCACGTGGCCAGAGTTCTCAAACGAGACTACGCTGAACTGGCTGAGTTAAACATGTACCAGGAGGGCGATAAGACGCACTACAATGAACCGATTGAGAACTGCAATGTTCGAAGGTAGGGAAGCGATGAAACAGTTAAGGACAAATGAGGAAATATTTTTAATTTTCAGATGTTGGCAGGAAATGATGGAGTCGTCCAACTTCAAGGATCGTCGATCGGAGGTTGAAGACTTCAACAAACAACACCGTTGGCGCAAACGTGGTATCAGTGTGGTACCTACCATGTTCGGAATAGCCTTCACAGCAGTTCATTTGAACCAGTCCGGTGCGTTGATTCACGTTTATCAGGATGGGGCCGTTCTCCTGTCCCATGGTGGAACTGAAATGGGTCAAGGTCTGCACACCAAAATGATTCAGGTTGCAGCTACGACCTTAAAGGTACCATTCGATACCATTCATATTTCGGAAACGTCAACGGATAAGGTTCCAAACACTCCCGCAACGGCAGCTAGCGCAGGTTCAGATCTGAACGGTATGGCAGTTCTGAATGCTTGTAAAACGATCAACGACCGTCTTGAACCCTACAAGAAGCAGTTCCCCAACAAGGACTGGAAGTTCTGGGTCAACAAGGCATATTTTGATCGAGTGTCCCTTTCCGCTACCGGATTCTATGCGACTCCGGGTATTGGGTATGACTTCAGTACCAACTCTGGAAATCCATTCAATTACTTCACATTCGGAGCTGCATGCTCCGAAGTAGAAATTGATTGCCTTACCGGTGATCACCAGGTGATTCGGACGGATATTGTAATGGACCTTGGATCCAGCATCAATCCCGCCATCGATATTGGTCAAATTGAGGGAGGTTTTATGCAGGGCTACGGACTGTTCACGCTGGAAGAGATGGTTTACTCACCGACCGGAACGACCTATTCGCGAGGACCAGGAGTGTACAAAATTCCCGGATTCGCCGACATTCCCGGAGAGTTCAATGTTTCCCTACTGACGGGAGCACCGAACCCGAGGGCGGTCTACTCATCGAAGGCCGTAGGTGAGCCACCGCTATTCCTCGCTTCATCGACGTTCTTCGCCATTCGGGATGCGATCAGTGCTGCGCGGAAGGAGGAGAACCTGGACGATGACTTTAATATGGTTTCACCGGCAACTTCGTGCAGGATTCGAATGGCATGCCAGGATAAAATTACGGAAAAGGTAAGTTTCAAATTGGCACTTGAAGGCACGAGGCTCCTCGCCCACCCCGTCTAGAAAGGCGATTCAATCCGATTTCCAAATTCTTGTTTTATTTCAGTTCATGGAGGCCGCAGCCGGTTCGTTTACACCATGGAATGTTATGCCCTAGGCTGGCAAGTGATACTGCTTAAAAAGGAACCATTTTTGTTAGGATTTGTATATTGATAAATATTTGAAAATAAAGGTTTTATGCTTCAATGATTTTAGAATTGGCAACATCCTCTTTCGTTTGCTTCGAACGGCCACCACAGCAGAAGATCTTCATCAGTCCCGATCGTTTCTTCGGTTGAATTTGTTTTCTGATCGATGAATTTTGATCTATACCGAAACTTACTTCATGTTCATATAATTATCGGAATAAGGCAGTTAAAACGTACTTACCCGTATAAATCGCCTGCATTGGAAGCTTGGTACTTTTCTGTGAAACCGCGCTGGTGCTCTCAATGTCCGTCAGCATGTCGGAACCGGTCACCACCGAGGAAATGCTGGACATCGAAGACCAGTCGCTCTTCTGCCGCGCAGACGATCGGCAAGATGCTTTCGATTTTTGCCGCTTCAAGGCCTTCTCACCGCGGGTTCTTGCTGGCAACGATTTAATGGATGGTAGCTTTGGAACGCTTTTCAGACATATTGGCTTGCGCAGCTGTGACTTGAGCATTTTGTATGTGTTGGAATCGAAACGTTTGGATTTTCGCAGTTTCCGTGCTAGGATCTCCAGTTCGTGGTCCTTTTCGATGTTCTTCAACAGAAGGTTGCAAATGGATCTGAAACGGGTGAAGCTTATTTGGTTACTACCCTGATGATATTAGATTGACATTGGAATCTTTTTTTTTTTTTTTTTTTTTTTTGTCTTTATTTTAGAGATTTTTAGCCTGAGGCTAGTTCATCTCTTAAAACATTGGAATCGTACTTCAGCTCATTCAACTCGCAGGTGATTGCCTTGATCGTATCCTGCTGAATTCGATCCTTTTCCTTCGTTTCGAACAACAGGCGTGTATTTTGAATGCGTAGATCTCTCATTTGATGGTCCAAATCCACTCCCTTGCTGATCAGCGCCATGATCGAGTGAGCATGTGAACTCGCTTGATCCTGTATTTTACGATCGTTCTCCTTGATACGATCGATTTCGTACTTGAGCGTTTCGAAGTAGCTTTTGGTAGTCAACTTCAGCAGGAATTTTATAGTCTTCGATTCGCTGTTACCATTTTTAATGCTCCGTTGCGAACGTCCTACGAACGATTTGGTTTTCACGGGGATCGAACTCGGCTTTTTGTGGACCTCCTCGATTACGGGTATAGGTTGCAAAGCTGCTGGGGACGGAGCAGTATCCGAAGTGGGCTGCTGACGATCCTCTTCGGATCCTTCTGCTTATAATTTGATATTTTAAAAAATTTTCGTAATCCTCATAATTTTACTTACCAGAAAACTTGATATCATCCCTGTTGAAGACATCCACCAGCTTGCAGTCGTCCTCACGTTGCTCAGGTTTCAGTCCCTCGACGGCACCGGCACTGGAGCATTTAACCTTGTATTGGTAACCGTTGTTGCGGTCATTGTTCACCAATCGATGTCCGTTTCCACCGTTTTCTTCGCTACGGCGACTCGTAGCGATGAAGGTATTGTTGCGGGAAACTTTATTCGGAGATTTGATGTACCGATTTTTGGACGGGATCAACCGATAGGGAGACGGAGTTTTACGCGTGGAAGTTTGCCTTCCGGTTATCGGGACAGGGCTCGAAGGAGAAACGGAAGCCATTTTTTTTTGCTTACCGATGTTTTTGATGGGCAGATTGAGATCTAGAAATCACCGACTACTAGGATGTCATCTAAGTAAAATTTGCAATTGACTTTTTTTTTGTATAAATATGATTTTGATTATTGAATAACTTGTTGGTTTATGTTTGCTATCATTCACCACGTCAGTTAACTATTGCAGCAGTACTTTATGGTTTGTACAAAGGTGGGGAAAATAAATTCATTTAAACTCGTTTTTTAATCATAAATGCTTATTTTAACAAAATCCTTTTTTATCTAAATTTACACTTTTTCCTTCGATGTGACACAAGTACTTTGATTTTCAAGAGTGATTTGAGGATCAATCAAATCATCTACATTGGATATAGATAGTCCACTTCTGAGACGATGATTTTTGAACTGATTTTTAGTTGTTGAGGTTATGTTCAGTTTGAAATTTCCTTAACCGAACATTACCCTATTATGAAGGAAATCCATTTTCGTCTTAATACACACACACAACGTTTCGTATGATACAGAAAGATTCCACTACACTACCATGTAAATAGAAGGTAATTGTTCGTAAGTCATATTTACGCCGAAGGTTTACTGTTCTTATACTGTTTGCCGCTCTTCCGGGTTGCAACCGAGTCTTGTGAGCCGGAACTGAAACCACCTGTTGGTTTTCGATCGGTTGTTGTCGGTTGAACGGTGTTTTTGTAGGTGTAGGTGTGTATGTGTAGAAGGTCGAAGAAACAAGTTGACCAAAAATAGAAGACGAAAAATACCACAGAAAAAAAAGGGAAAAGTAGTCACTTATAATGCACGTAAATGAAACTATTTGCTAAGAAAGCGAAAAACTAACTCGTACTAATCAGTCTATTGATGAAGCCATATTATGAAAGCGTATGGTACCGTAACGTAAAGCAAAGTGAGAAAGAATGTGTTGTTAATATATTAGTGGACATACGTACATAAAATAGCAAACTGCGCACATTTAACAATGTTCCATAGATTTCCAGAAATTTTTCAGATCTTTGAATTGTTTAATTGCTTAAAGAACAAAATATACAAAAGTTTCAGATAAATTTGCTGGGATAAGTAGTGACCTTGGCATTAGCATTACTGGGAAGACAACACTGGCGACTCAAGCATTCTTATACAAACACTAAAAGATAGACACAATTTCCCCATCTATTGGTCAACGGTTGAAGCTCCGAACGCATTTGATAGCAAAGACGCCAACCTCAAAAGAGAGATTTGTAGATTAGCTAATTTTACTTCCAGTGGTTTCACCTTTACTCGAGCGCAGCGCCACTGTTGTTTTCAGTCTTCTTATTATGTTCTCTTTCTTTACAGGTATATTGTAACATACATTTCAAATACCGGTTAAATCTACTGGAGCTCTGCAGAAGTCAATAGCTTAAAATGCTTCGAATGTTGTCGCAATTCCTAGCAAATTCAGTGCATGTCAAGAAGCGACGCCGGTGGTGCTCTTTTAGCGTGATTACCTCTCACCCCAGCAGGCCTGGGTTCAATCCCCGTTGGCGCCGCCTGGATGTTCTGAGGCATAACATCTCATAACAGGGAAGTAAAGCCGTGTGTCCCCGGTTCATGAGTTGATGGGTCGATAGGTAGGATCCAAGTGTGAGAGCTGCCTCCCTGGCGTCGGTAGCATTGGTGATCAGCACGGAAAACAAAATCGACGGAAAACAAATCAAGGGAAAAAAAGTGTATGTCAAGTGGTAATCAACTCTGCACACTGTGCCGAAGCACAGCATGGCACGGCACGCTAGGACACACGTTGACAATTAGGACACAAACATTATAGTATAAAACGGCATCACTGTCGAGAGTTGACGTTTTGCCAATCGTTGCTAAGGTTGACTAATTTGTTTACTCCATTGGGCTTCACAATGCACACTGGGCCAGAAATGCAATAATTTGTTACTCCATTGGGCTTTACAATGCACACTGGACCAGAAATGCACTCGACAGTGATGCCGTTTTATACTATAATGTTTGTGTCCTACTTGTCAACGTGCGCCCTTGCATTTCTGGTAAACACCTGTGCTGAAGAAGTCAAGTCTTCAAAACGCCATTTCAATGCATTAAAAAAAAGTTATAGAATTTATACGTGCTCCACTAAAATGATAAAATCTCAAAAACACCAAAATATACCTCTCTCAAATTTTGATATTTTGTTTATCGAGTATTGCTTAATTTTTGCTGAATATGTCAGGTTGCGAATTTTTGCGCTTTGGGAGATATTAAAGTTCAAAAATTGTTGTTTTTTTCGGTTTTTCAACAATATCTTTAAAATTTGAAGCTAAAAACCAGTATGTTTCTCTACAAAAGTTATTTATTTAATGCATTTTCATAAGAGAAAAATATAACAGTATATGGTTGTCAGCAAAAGAATCGAAACAGAAAGAAAAAAACATATTTTCAACATTTTTTTAACTCCATATAACTCGGAACCAGTAGGCTGTGGAAGTTTTACATCTTCAAAAGAGTTGTTTATTTTGTCAAGGCAAACAACTTTGCCCAAGACATGAAGTCTCCAAAACGTCAGCGAAAGAAGTTAGATTGTGGCGCCATCTTTGCGGAAGAGTTTTGAAATATTTTTTGTCAATAGATGGTCCTTATTATGATGAGAAACTTTACCGAAGACAAATAAAGGGTGATACGGTCAAAATTTGGTCAATATCAACTTGACGTATTTCTTTCAATTTTGCATTTAAAAAACCTGAACACCCCTCATTTTGAAGGTGTGTGTGTGTAGAATGTTGCTCCTATTTTGATTTTGGAATTCACTCTTCAATTGTCAAAATGCCGTCCAAGCAAGAAGAGCAGCGTATCAAAATTTTGCTCGCGCATCGCGAAAATCCGAGCTACTCGCACGCAAAGTTGGCAAAATCGCTAAAAGTTGCCAAATCAACCGTTACAAATGTAAATAAAGTGTTTGGGGAACGTTTGTCGACAGCCAGGAAGTCTGGATCGGGGGGAAATCGAAAACCGGAAGCCGCTGAGACGACAAAGAGAGTTGCCGGTAGTTTCAAGCGAAACCCTAACCTCTCTCTCCGAGATGCCGCAAATAAGCTGGGTGTATCGTCTACAACCGTGCATCGAGCCAAAAAACGAGCCGGACTATCGACTTACAAGAAGGTAGTGACTCCAAATCGCGATGATAAACAAAATACGACGGCCAAAGCGCGATCCCGGAGGCTGTACACGACGATGCTGACGAAGTTTGACTGCGTGGTAATGGACGACGAAACCTACGTCAAAGCCGACTACAAGCAGCTTCCGGGACAGGAGTTTTATACGGCAAAAGGAAGGGGAAAGGTAGCAGATGTTTATCTGGTTTGGCAAGCCATCTGTACCTGTGGCTTGAAAAGCAGCATTTTCATAGCTTCCGGGACTGTCAACCAAGAAATTTACGTGAAAGAGTGTTTGAATAAACGTCTGCTGC